GTATGCGACCGACCGAAATGTCAAAGGCGTGCGACCTTTGCTGCGAGCAAGTGTATTATTGATTTCATTGCCCTTTTGTTGTGGTACCCAGTCCTCTACGTTGTTGCTGTTGTCATTCTGTTATGTTAGTTGGCATTGTCAGCGCCGTTGACGAGTCAAATTGAAAACGCACGAATTAATGAGTTCAACAATTCACGAAACAGACAAGACAACCGACACGACACACACAAGAAGCTCTTCAAATGCCGCCGGCTAAGACCGCTACATTACACTTCGCATCGCCGCTGCCGCTCGTCGTCGACATCCTGTGCGAAGTTGCAAAGGAAGCCACTGATTAAGAGCGGCAACGCGCCAACGGATGCATGGCTAAGCCAACAGCTCATAGCAGCCCAAAAGCAGCCACCGATCTGCCGCCACCAGCCACCAGCCACAATTGACAAAATCTATTGAATTGGTTTAGCCGCGGAGGTTGGCCCACTCGAGATATTTGACGAAAGCAATATGCAGGCTGTCGCACACACTCACACTTGCGGCGCTGCATTAATTCGTATTTACCGTAAATACGTATACATATCTGCTTAGGGTTTCTCACTTCCGTGTGTGTGTTAGAGTGCGCGTCTGTCTTCACTTCGCGGCTTCTGAGGATGCTGCGACTTTCGGCTTGCGTTGGCATAAGTGCGACCTCGTCTGCTGCCTCGCTTGAAATGCCACTTCTGTCTCTCAGCTCCTTCTATTGCCTAGCATATGCGTTCGCTCATTCAATCGCTCGTTTATCCGTTCGTTCGGTACGTGTTGACAAACATTTCAAGCGTGGCTCTACAATACACACTCCACATCAAGTGCCTATTCGCCAAATCCCCCACATGTATGCTCATCTTCATATGGAAGTTTGCGGGTGTGTGTTTGTGTGCTTAGAGTTTGGAGTGTGAATGTATGGGGGCTTTGTAGTGTTTTTGTGTCCATTAACATCCACACTTATCCCTTTGTATCACGAAATTGTTGATTGATGTTTTCATGTGGAAGTGTAATTGAGTTTCTTTGGCAGTTCATGTCGGCATAGCTGCGGGGGGTACAGCAGAGCGTTGAACCATATGAAGAGGAGGCGGGGAAAATTGGTTTCCGGCTGGTGTGAAACTACTAATTAATGGATTTACTCAACTGTGGTCGAGTCCGCTGGTACATTTGTGGGCAATGTCTCAATTAATATGGGTGTATTTATGCACGAGTTACGAAAGAAATTACTGCCTGTAAACTCCTTTGCAAAAGACAAGAGTGTCCCCTAAGTTCAGTATTACGCAGAAGAGTTTCTTCCGCTAAAGAAATCATCACAGCCGCATGGTGTGTACGGATCAATCGTTACAGATTGGTTACCCAATGACTGCTTCGGCACCACACAGTATTGCCAATGGTTTCAAGACTCTGTTGACTATTGTTGTTGCCACCGAAGTGGCTTTCAAGCAAGCTGCTATCATCAAGGAGTTCATCAAGGATCCCAAGAAGTTTGTTGTCGCAGCTGCATTTGTTCCAGCTGCTGATGCTGACGCTGGAATAAGCCAAAAAGGAAGGATCGGAGTCAGAGGTAGACGACGATACGGGTTTCGGTCTCTTCGACTAAACAACTCAACACTAAAATTGATATAGATTTAAAGCTTAAGAGCTATGAAAGCTCCTGCCATTAACCTCAAAGAGGCATATACCTCAAAACTGCAGTCACAAAAGTAATACATGAATTTGATTTGCGTCATGAATTTCTAAGCAATTTTTACACTGCTTTCATTCAATATGTAACATTTTTTTTTTTAACTGGAAGACTCTACCTTATCTCGTTGAAATTAGGTGAGAATTTGGTTAGTTTCAGTCCAAGCGAAATGTTGGTCATCGCTTTTGATGATGGTGTGCAATTATTTGGGGAATTTGTGTTAGTTCATTGGTTGGTTTTCATGTTTTTAACTCCTCTATTGAATACGGTAGGATTGCTTAACGACTACCTAAGCATGGTATTTTAACTTCGGTTGTGACAGAAGTTGGCACATTACAGCTTCGTCTTCGTAATCACCTTTTACATGACAATTACTTTTGGTCCGATGCTCAGTAAACCTTCTTCGAATTCCTTCAACTTTTTGCGTATTTCTGGAAATATAAGTAGATTACTTTTTTGTTACTTCAGGTGGACTTTGGTTCTAGCAAACCTTAGAAATAAGATGTTTACTTCTTTAGACGCTTTGCCTATCTTCTATGTCAAACTTGTATCATATTTAAGATATTAAGTTGGGCTACCGAAACGGAAAGAAGGCGATTTCGGCACTCACATGACTAGATTTTCTTGATGTGCTAGATTTTCTTGGAGCACAAATAAGAATAGTAGTGGAATCTGCCTCTTCGATTTTGCTGTTTGCTTGTGTGAGTCCTATGGAATCAAACTGTCATTTACCTCTTACTTAATTGGGTATAAATTTGGAGATGAGTAAGGTGGATTCTAACTGTACCTTCAAGGCTAGTTAAGCATTGTTTATCCTCACTAGAAATAGCATCAAGCCACTTCATAATCAAACTCGTTTGGATGCCTGGTCATGGCGAAAGCGTTAGTAAACGTTAAGCAAACGAGCCAGCCTGAGAGGGCACTATTGTCTCGCTCACATTAGAATGGGACCGAGTTGGATTTCCATCTTTATATTGTGTTCTAGCTCCGGGCCAATCGACCGAGCGACTGCAATATCCTTTTAGACTAGTAGAATGGAACGCAGAAGATCTTCTGAAGTGCTTACCATTAGCAAAGTTCGTCTCGTCGTTATATGTAGTAGATATTCTCACTGAACATTATTTAATATGCATTCATGCGGTAAGGCTTAAAATCTTACCGGACGCAAAGTCCAAGTTGAATGGAAGAGGCTGAGGTGGAAATATCCAGGCAATTTCTCCTCCACTTTCCAATCTTTGCAAGTCTGAAGATGAAACATCTCGTCGAAATAAATTACGACAAGTTCAACGCGCTTTTTCGATAACTAAAGATCTTATGATCCAGAATTAAGGATTTTTCGAGATAAGCTGTCCAAGTGAGATCTCACTTAGGATTGACCTCTTAACTTAACCTAATTTGCCTTTAATATGGCTGGCACAAGAAGTGTGAATATGGATTTGGTTATAGAGAGATTCTTGTGAAGGTACGAAAGATGCCAGCTAGCAAATTGAGTAAATTAATAATTATCTAGGCAAAATATTCGTTAGATTGCATTAATTAAGGCGAACAAATTGTGACATTCTAAACCAGGATGTATATGCCGCCCATTGACATCAGGAAGACGAACTCGAACGATTAATTCAGCTATCAGCGCCTAAAGCAGTATCGGCAATGACAGAGGAGAGGAACAGTAGCACCAAAAATGGCAGCAGCGGTGAAACTTCTCATCCAAAGGGCGCTGGAACCACAGACTTATACCAAACGTCCACTCGCGGATAGACACACGACACGTGGCGACGGACCTCCATCAGACCCAAATACTTAGTAGACATGGGTGCTTTAGAAGCTACCTGTACGAATTGCAGCACTACATTAGTCCGACATGTACAGAGTGCTTAGAATATATATTTTTTTTTTATTTGCCTCAATTTTTAAGTACAAGAGAGAAATTTAAAACTATACTCGGTAGTAATTTAATCGTCGATAATATAAGGACACTCATGTGTCAGTCGGCTGTGAAATGGAAAGCTGTTAGCGAAGCGTCAGCATTCACAATGACAAAACTGAGACTTTTTATACATATTAGGCATATGTCAGGTCGCACAATAGAGGAGACGTAAATATCCTGTTCCTCTCACGAAGAAATACATAGCCGGTGGTTCCGTGCAAGAGTCTGAAGTTTGGAGTTGGTTGGGTTTAACAAATTAAAGTTTCGCACTCCGGCATTCTATGCTTCCCCTACTACAAAACAGCGATTTTTTCGAAATAAACAAAAATACTGCATCAATTGTTTTAAAATATTAAGGTTATATTAAAACACAGAAACTACATATTGTTATAATTTCTATTAATCGTTACTTAAAAAGCAAACTAACGTAGCATCACTTTTCATAAGTTTAAAGCTGAAGGAAAAAATGTATAATATAAGCCACAATTTGAGTTTTGGTTATAAACTGTTTATATGTACGAGGTGTGTTCAAAAAATATCGCGAATTTTGAATTTTCGCTGGTTACGTATATTCGAATTTCGAATTTTTTGTGGCGTTATGTTGGTACTCATGTCTCTCAATTATGCCGACAAGCTCGGCCATTTTGAATGTGTTGAATTTAATTGTTGACAGCTGCTTTGCTTGCACGTGTTTTAGATCGTCTTCGATTTTTACCTATTCAAACAAATGGATCAAGGAACCTGTATCAAATTTAGTTTGAAAAACGAAATTAAGTGCGCGGATGCATTCCGATTGTTGACTGTGGCATACGGAGAAGCTACCTTGGCCCGAAGCAACGTTTATCGGTGGTACAAAATGTTCTTAGAAGGCCGAGAAGAGTGACAAAAATTGGCTTTTGCACCACGATAACGCCCCTGCTCACACATCGTTGCTTGTGCGCCACTTTTTGGCCAAACACAACACACTAATGATGCCGCAGCCACCGTGTTCCCCAGATCTGGCCCCCTGTGACTTTATCTTGTTCCCTAAACTGAAGAGGCCCATGAAAGGACGGCGTTATGCTGCTCTTGACGAGATACAGACGGCATCGAAGGAGGAGCTGAAGAAGATAAAAAAAAAATGATTTTTTTGAAGTGCTTCGAAGATTGGAAAAACCGTTGGGACAAGTGTATAAGATCTCATGGGGATTACTTTGAGGGGACAAAATAGATATTCATGAATAAATAAATAATTTTTGAAAAAACACTAAATTCGCGATACTTTTTGAACACACCTCGTATATCGGTTATATATGAATGCAATAAAAACTTCAATTTAGATTTGTAAAAAATTCAAGTTTAAAAAATTATTTTTATTTTTTAATATTCTTCCAGATCCTTATGTGGTTGCATGGAAGCGTGGCATCGCCATACTCACCGCCGGCAATGTGAAAGTAACACCGGATCCACGTGTGTCGCGAGCCGAGCGATTCAACTTACAGATACGCGACGCAGTGCCACAGGATGCCGGCGACTACATCTGCCAGATCGCCACAATGGAGCCGCGCGAAATTACGCACACGGTCGAGATCTTGGGTAAGCGCTCGCAATAAGCAAACAAGTATTCTAGACAGTGTATCTGGAACTATAAATCAGTTTTGTGCAGCTCAGCAACTGCACACACACATGCGCAGGAGGGGAAAACGATATTTTACGTCTAATTAAAGACGAGCAATGTCGAAAGTCATTTGCATGCACATATAATATATAGACATATATCAACATGGACGCTATTGATGTATTTAAAGTTTTTGTTTTTGTTTTCTCATATGTTGTTTATTGTTTTTATTCATGAAAAAGCGTTGCGTGTGTGCGTTGCAGCATGCTCACTAGCTGCCACGGCGATTGAATGAGTGCCGTCGGAAGTGTGTCAACAAGTTCCGCTACATCGCTGCCACTGCACACGCTCGGCGCGGCATTTGGTTGTTAGAAGCGCACACACACATACATACATACACACAATTAAACAAGTATGGTAATCAATTTTTCGAAAACGAATTTTCACATGAATGCATACCGTTATGCCGCCGTGCATATTTGCTCTTCCAGAAGACTGACTCATATTGATGGAACTCGCGCGCACAAATGCAGCGCAACAAGCATTCAATGCTGTATTTTCGAGCGATCAACTGATGCAATTGTGTCAAGGATAATGAACTTGGTGGGCGTGCATGTGTGTGTGTGTGTACGTGCGCGTGTTTCAGCGTTGCAATTATTTGTTAGAATTTTGCATATTTTTTAGTTAACGGTGTGTGGCAAATTATTTGCATTTTTAATGCAGCACAACAACAAGCAGAATTTAGTATTTGTTATTGTTGCTGTTGTTGTTTATTGTGGTGAGTTAATTAAAAGTGTGATTTAATGAACACAGCGTTGCACACGCAATATCTCATGGTGGCTTGTCAAAGCGTTTCTTTTTCGCTGACTCTTTTGATATTTTGGTCCTCGTCGCAATTATTTTAATATGCCGTTCGATTTTGGCTCTCAGTTGATGGAATATTTTGAAAATGTTTGGTAACAATATTATATAAACAATTAAATGTCAAAAATACGAGGTATCTTTTTGCGAGGGTGGTCCAAAAATACTTAAACTTTTTTGTTTCCTCAGAGAGCTGCAAAAATCACTATTTTCTTGATTTACTCATACGCAAACTTTTTCATTCAACTCAACTCACTGAAAAACACAAATTGATGAGCAAATACCAGCTCATTTTGCCGTACACATTATTCCGAGGATCTTGAGTGTTCGGTTCAAAATTTGTCACTCAATTCAACTCACTGAACAAAAGTCAACGTTCAATGAAATGAGCATGTGATGACGAAAGCATCATTCGGTACAATTTGAGTTGATCGATTATGAGTAGAAGACTATACGATGTGAGCGTTACGACTGCATTTACCGTAATAATTTCTATGCAGTTTGTTGTTATTTGTTTCACCTTCTTCTTCTCACATTTCATCTGTGCAGAACAATGGCTGCTTGCTGCGCGCCTGAGTAAAATCATACGAGTTGATTTTTGCTAGTTGAGTGTTGTTCTTTTTCAAAACAATGATTGGTGAATCGAATGAGCAAGCGCCCGAAATCATTATATTGAACACGAGCCGAACAAACTTGCAGTGAAATAAAAAATCGCACACACCCGAGTGAATTTAAAATCAACAACAAAAATACGAGCGCATGTAAGTTTGATCGGCTGATCCGAACAGTGTGTTTATTCGGCTGTTGAGCGCGTACGAATGTTTTTCATTCAGCCGATCACGTTCTCTAATACAGACTTTCACCGTAGATACTTCTTTAGCTTTGTAAAACCATAGCTAAGCCTATAATGATCTAGTCAAAATATAATGTACGAAAAACAAGCAGAATATTATTAAAGCCCACAAGAGTTTACTATGTAGCTATAAACACCTACAAACACAAACATGCTAGTCTTTTTTTATATTTCTTCCATATTAATAAAGCATTGACCTATCGATTATGCTTAATCCACTCATCTGCAGATTGACTCAGTTCTCATTTTGCTGCTCATTCTTATGCTAATCGATTCCGTTGCTAATGCACAAGCGAACGCTGGCTTCACCTAGTTCCCTCCGAGAGCTTGCTGGCCAACGCTATTTGTTGTCATTATGTCTTTGCATTCTTTGACCATGCCCGCAAGCAAGTAGTCGTCGGCTGGCGACTTCATTTCAATGCCACTTGGGAGAAGTTGTGGGCAGGGAAATGAGCTTTTTTTATTTCAACGACGAAAGCGAAAATTATGCCGGCCGTCTATAATTAATATATGCGCAATAAATTTTGGAACGATGGGTTATTATTCGTGGATATATATATATACATATATTATAAATGTATATATATATATATATAAATGTATATAACTGAAACTATATATTAATATTTAACAAGAAATGATAGAGGCCCAGAGAGAAAAGAAAAATTGTTGGAAAAGTTTTTTGCTCAATATGTTTCAGCTGTTGCGAGTGTTTCGGAAATAGAGAGGCTTTATAAATTCAAGTACAAGAAATAAACTTTTGTATCTGTAGCTGTGTAGAAGATCTGCTTTATTATAAAGTGTTGACTTTCATGCATCTGGACTACATAAAGAGTTCTATATGCATTAAGTCACCTCTGTAATAAGACCGTATAGTTCTTTCCAAATTAGTAGTAAGTGCAGACAACCACAGGTTAGCAAAATCTTTCCGGAATAGCTTCTGTAGAAACAAAATAATTTTATAGACATTTATACCAATTTATACCGAGTCACTTGTGAGTGGTTTAGCGAACAGATCAATTGAAAAGTTTCCGACAGATGGTGGAACACATTTTTTGACACAAGAAACCGTTTTTATTCAACATATTTCCCTTCAGCGGTAATGCACTGATTAAAGTGACCTGTTTTGTAAATGTAAATAATCAATGACGAGAAAAATTGAAATCCGGGTGATTATCTGCGCGTACGTCCAGCAAGCGGACTTGAGTAAAAAGTGAGATATTTTAATGAAACTTGGTAAAAATTTTCCTTGAGAAAAAGTTAAGGCGGAGTTCGTAAATGGGCGTAATTGCATTACTACCACGCCCAAAAAACGCCATTAATCGAAAACGTATTAAAGACCATAACTAAGCCGATTTCAACCAAATTAGGTATATGTATAACATACATCCAACAGTCACAATGCTTTTAAGAAATTTCGTGTTTTATTTTTCAAAAGAGCGCTATAAAAGGAACAAAAAAATGTTTGGAGTATCAATAAAATTCTTCATTCCTGTGAAAGTATATTCGTTGCCATTATGTATGGAACTCGATTTCTGTTGCATGACCACTACGGGCACGCTTGTAAAAGTCCAGACGCTGAACCCAATTCATCAATGCGCTGGCTTGTTAGCATAGCCTCAAGCATGATCATCCAATTTGGGGCCAAACATATTCGGTTATAATTGAGCGTTAGCAATTCGCATTCACAATAACGTTCCGGTCTCCATCATCAGCGAAGAAGTACGGCCCAATAACGCCCTCGGCTCATAAACGACACCAAACCGAAATTTTTTCGGGATGCAATGGTAACACAGGGAGTACATGGGGATTGCTGCCTGACCAATAATGCAGATTTTGCTTATTAATGGAGCCATTTTTGATGAAAATCCGGATCATTTTCAAATTTTTGCTCAGCCCAATTCACGAACATACGACGATTGGTGGTCAAGCGGCTTGCGTCAATATGTTCTGGTGAGGATGTAGGCCAATTCCCCATAATGACGTCACGTAGATGCCCAACGCTCCAGAACCACTTGTGATAGACTGATTTGGGTCTTCCTAAATTGATGCGTTAGCGGCAGCAATATTCTCAACACAATTGGCACTTCATTGTCTGACTGGCACGGGATAATTTTGCCCTGTGCCCTTGGATTCAAGTTTAACTAAACGTTCAATTGTTCAGATCTGACAAAATGATTATGACGACTATAAATTGGGCGTAACGCTCTTAAAATTGAGGCCACTGACTCCAGATTTTGGTTGTAAACTTTAATAATGGCAATTTTAAAAGGCAAATTGCATGGCGTCGTTTTCTGTGCCTATTAGTCTACTTTTGTAGCATCCCTATTGAAAAGCCCCATACATACATATACATATATAATTGCTTGCATTCCGATATTTTGGTTGACATTTTGACTTTAAGGTATTTCTCTGACTTAGATTTTGCTTGTAGCAAGATTATAACATCTTCGATTGTACCCAATACAATGATCCCAGATCTGAGATCTGAGTCCTGGAAAATGATGGAGCCATGTTGCACCAATGGTCAAATATCGTATAAAACGTTGGATTTATTAGTCTTGAACATTTCCAAACACTTTCCCGAAACGCGAACTGGTCATATTTTTTGGTCAAGAGAGAGTTTGCGAGGCAGCTCCTTTGCACAGAGGTTTCCCATACTCAAATATTCGTGAATAATATGACGACTTAACGTTGGGAGCGCCATCTATGTGTCAGGTGTGTGAAAATGATATTTACATATCACTACGTACAATTCCTACAGGGTCGTTGTGACCACATCGATCATTATATTTTCGCACATTTCTTATGCAAATGAGCAGCGCAGATGCGTGTGTGTGAATAGACTGGACAGTAAGCCGCATAATAAACAGTCAAATGTGGCAAATCGGTGGGGAATTATGACACTCCATGTGGCCGCCGGGCGCAACAAAAGGCTAAGAGATGCTTGCCACCACTTATGACCATAAAAAGAATGAAGCACACAACCGCGCATAAAAGTCAATGCAGCAATATTTGAAGTTCAGCATTTATGTGCTTAAACACGTAAGCGACTTCAATGCATATAAGAGTGTGTGTGTGTGTGCTTTAGTGATGCCGCCAGCATAAATTGGGAAATCAATAAATAACACACACACACACATGCATGCCAACACATGTGTGCTGCAAATGGTCGCTAAGCAGCGCGGAAGAGTGGCTTTGTATACCCAGACCCTTAAACCCCAATCAAAGAGGATCATGCTTCTTAAAATACGCTTCCTCTCT